GGACCTGTGTACGTACACATAAACACGCTGTAAAGCATTTTCTGGTATATTTCCTGTTGTGATGTTTAACTCTGGGCTTTGATTTGTTTAGTGTGTGCTGTGATGATGTATTTATTTTCACCTAAGTCCCCCTTTGTAATGAGACTTTTATTGTAAATAGGCTATCAGCTGATCTTATATAAAGGAATTGTATTGCATTCTATAAGTCATTCAACAAGCCTGATTTCATCGGTTAAGATCTGATTGTAGATATGGATTATAGTTGTCACGTACCAGAAATACTGCTCCCTGTCATAGAAACATGGAATATCCAGCATTCTGCTACAACCACGATCACCCTAGGAGATAAGCACCACCCGCCAGCTCATTTCAGCACGGCAGAGCATTCCACTTTTTTTTTTTGCACGACATTCGTACAGAAGCCCAAACAAATCACACCGCTGCCAAGTTGTAAAAAACGAGCGCGGCAGATGCCGCATGCTGGCGCTGCTCGGCAGAAGGAACTCGATCGCTGCAGCAGCGGCAGGTGCAGCGCCACGCTCGCTGTAGCCGCGAGGCGAGGCCCCTGTCCCCCGGACGCAGCGCTTGCTTGAGCGCGGCAATAAGCGCGGCCAACAGCAGCGCCGGGAGTCACTAATATTCGCGTTTATCACGTTTATGCAAAGGACACAAACGTTGGGATGTAAATCGCACGATATGTTCACGCTGCCTGCATTGTACACATTCGCCGTGCATTCGGAGCGTTTAAAATCTGTATTCTTGGTTCTTTCGGTAAAGTCACGTAGATAGAAAATAAAAATAAAATTTTAAATAAATTAAAAATATAATGTTTTTTTATTTACTATCTACGTGACTTTACCGAAAGAACCAAGAACATGAATTCCTGCAGTCACGAAAGTTTTAAGTCAAAAGTTTAAAATCTGATTCATGAAACGTACAATGGGTGGCTGGACGGGCTGTGAGTTACAGCACTGAGGATGATGGCTTTGAATCCATCACAGTTACCTATGGATAAAATCGCCTCCCAACTAAACTGAGTTGATGGTATCGGCTCGATCACTAACTAGTTCATACAAAAAAACATTCTATTTGAGTTTTTAACTCAATTTGGCACATTTACAATTTCGAGAATGAAATATTAAAATGGACTTTGATTCCCACGGTGCATGGGAAAGTACAGAAGGAATCGTGTGGATAAGGGGTCCCTTAAAGGGACCTCAGAAGCAGTCCCTTGACATCATCTTCCACGGGCCATGCTCTAATGCTGTAAGAGTTTCCAATGGAAATTGTTTCATCTCATGACACAAAGCCTGAAGCACAATTGGAGTTAAAACATTAAAAAAAACACCAAACCAATTCGTCAAATAAATACGAAGCACAAAAAATAAAATGGCAGCACATTTCCTGTTGCAAACAGAGATGGTTTGCACCCAGGTGCTTGGAAGCCCTTAATGAATTCAGCTGCCCCCATCAGAGTGCCTCAGTCATTTAATATCCACTAATCCCCTGGATACAGCGCTGCTGCTGCTGCTGCCTGCCCACACAACGCAGCCTCAAAGGGGGCTTTGTTGGAGTTGTTGTGAGCCCCGGGCAGGTGCTCCGGGCCGCTCTCTCGCGGCCTGCCCAGTGGGCGCAGCGGCACTTTTGAAGCGACCAGTGGCACCAACCAGCAACTCCCCTGCCCCCACTAAACAAACGGCACTTGGCAGCTGGAGGGTAATGGGCTTGGAGGGTCGGATGCCCTTGGCCGTCACCGTCGCCGCCACCCAAGCGCTGCTGAAAACCACCGACTGACCGTCAGCTCTTTAGCGGCGCAGCCTTCATCGTGAGCGCGTGTGTGTGTGTGTGTGCGGGTGCTGGCGCGGGGTTTCGTGCAATTAAAGCGATGGCCACATTTCGCAGGGAAAACAGCTGCCGGTAATTGCATTAGAAATATGCAGGAAAGCCAAAATCCACGCGGATGTCGATGAAGTCCTCGGAGCACGAGGACACAAACAGTAGCACACTTGCACCCAGAAGAGCGTTTCCCTGCCAAACGCTGCTGGTCTTGTCGCCCGACGGCACGCGCTTACGCTGATCCTGTCTGCGGTGCGCGGGAAAGTTTTTAGGGAATTCCTTATATAAAGGGTGCTTAAAAAATGTTTCACACTTCTGAAAATTTGCAACAATACCACAAGAAATGTGCCTCCAGGCTCGGGAGACCACCTGGAGAAGATTCCAGGCATGAAGCTGTTAACATGCATTTGTTCTAATGTCAGTGTATTATGCTTTCTTTTTACATTAAAAACGACAGTCCCATTTAAGTGTTAACATTTTTTTTAAGCACCCTGTATTTTGGGAAGTTTATATCCACGTACGGCCAATTAGGGAGACACCCATCCAGCAGTTTATGGCCAAAAGAGTTGCACGTGCACATATCAATATCGGAATTGAGGTTCAAATCTTGCATCTAGTTCAAGGTATAATCAAGCACTCATCTGCAATGAGTGGATGGTATTAAGCTCGGTCAAATGCACCGCGGAAACAAAAACGACCAGCCTCGAGGCGAGTTTTGCCGAGCGAGCGGAGGGTGATCCAACGGCGTGTATGCACAGCTGCGAGCGAAGTCGGGAGGTTGCAGCGGTAAAATAAACCGAGAAATATGACGCCCGGCGGTGATTTTTTCACACATATATATACTGCTTTATTCTCGTGACTGGTTCCAGAAAACAACCAGAGTGAGAACATGGCACAGTCCCTAAGAAATTTGTGAAAAATATGAAGCCCTACAGAGTAACCAGGGCCGTTTGAAATCCAGGCTTCAATTGCAGCCAGGCAATTACCGTGCGATTGGCCGTTCATGAGAAACCTCAAGTGACCACAAAACACATTTTTGCCCATTTTATTTAATTATAATAATATAAACAAAGTTCTGGGTTGGCACAATGCTGGTGGGTTCTGCACCTCACTGCTTATGTTTGGCTATTACATAGCGGGGGAGCTATTTGTTTCCCCGATGCAAACAAAGCAAACGTGCAACCTAACGTTCCCCAAGAATGACTTCGCCAGCCTCGCTCCAGTGTCCTGCTAAACGACATAAAACGGAAAGGCTGAATGTGCAGGCAGAGGCACATCTTGGAAGCGGTGGCGGCGAGGGCTTCGTTTAAGATGGCAGAGAGATAAGAGAGCGCACGGCGAGAAGGAACGTAGAGGGGGGGGGGGGGGAGGGTAAATGTATGGCTGGCTGGTAAATGTCACGGCTGTTTGACCCCCGCAATTCGGGTCAAGCGTTGCCGCTGCCCGGTGGGGCCGAGGCGAGGTGCACGCAACGTTGCGGCCTTAGGCGAGGGCGTAAAATCACCGGAACCGGAGGCGGTGTCTGCGAGTGTTCTACCACCAGGCCATACACAACCCACGCGCAGACATCTGCACAGTGTCACTCATGCTTGAAATTGTTTTTCCATTCCAATTTATTTTTTGGGGATTTGTTTTCAATTAAATTTCACGTTCGGTAAATTCACTTTGCTTACGTAATAATGGTACGAGATTGCGTATGATGTAGCGTGCCGTCCAAGTCAAATTGTACCTGTGTTTAAACGCGCGCCTGAAAAGTGCTCATCTCCAATGCCAATCCTGAGCAAAATGCTGACACTTCCACATTCCCACGATGGGGACCGGTCTCTCCAGAGATAAACCACTGCTGACTTCCTACAAATTGTTACTCATTTTATCAACACTGATAGGATGATGGGCTGAGTCGATCTGCGATAGAGATTTAAATTCACGACCTTTTGACCGAGTCGGTGCTCCGTCACAGACACAGGGTTGTGCCGCAGCACACCTCTCCAATGTGTTTTCGGGTAGTAACGCATGTCGCGTGTCATGTGACACGATGTCTGATGTTTCGCTCCCTTGTGCTGTGAGCTTCTTCCGTAACTGAAGAAGTTCCTCTACGATGTACTTTGGCTTGCATCGCGTGTTGTTCTTCCATCTACCTGGAGAAGCTCCCAGCACGTGGAGTGAAACGTCGGACATCACGCTGAAGAACGTGCGGTGCGCAAAACGTAAAACGCGCGCGGAGAGCAGTGCGGTGCACTGCCAAGATTCACAGCTCCCTCGCGCTCTCGCGCGCTTCCCCCACACGCTGCCCGCAAATTCCCAGCGGCCACGGAACCCGACCCCACTTCAGAGCGCGCCGCGTCACGAGGGAGCACCGCCGCAAATCCACTGCCCAACCCCAGGCCCTCGAGGCAACGCCACTCACCGACAGGACCCTGTCAGTGGGCCATCAGCGTTAATCATTAGCGCCGGACGCGGTAGCCACACGCCCCCAGAAGCCGCAAAGGGGTTCGTTGATCGCGCGCATTTCCCCACGTGCTGCGAGAGATCCAGGAGATGGGATTACAGCAGCGGCAAGGGGGCTGCTGAATTATCCACGCGGATTCCTGAAAGAATGCTGCCCTCTCGCTGGCGGCGGGGGTTTCTTTCCGGATGCCGCGGTTTCCACCCCCGCGTCCGACGCTCTCATTAGGGACTGGCGAAACGTCGCAACGCAAGGCCGCATCGACGCTCGGTAGCGCTCACCTGCACGGAGGACCAGAGGAGCGGCCGTGCCGGGCTCGGCACGCGTGGTCACTTAGACCGCGGCTGTCGAAGTACAGTACAACAGATGCTTCTGCACTGACCTATGACGCCCATCACGTAAACCCCGAGGTCTATAACAAACTTGCGTGCACGGAGGTCGCCCGTCCCAGCCATATCTCTTGATGCCGAGCAGCAGCCGAATATTTAAAATGACAACGTTCAGTTCCCGAAGAAGCGGCCGGCACTCGGGAGCGAAACGTCAGACATCGTGCCGAACAACTCGCGGCAGAACCCGCAACAGCGCGACGGAGCGCTGCGTGGCACGGCCGCGAAAACCTCGGCGGAGGTGTCGAATGGCCGCGTGGGCCCCGCGCGTCTCCCTCGGCGAGACGAGGCCCCGGCGGCCGCGCAGAGGGGACCGCGGGCGGAGCCGGTACCTTCGGAGTAGAGCTCCTCCAGCGCCCGCCACGTCTCCGCTCGCAGCTCCCGCCGGCTCTGGCCTGGGGGCGGCTGCCCCTCGGGCCAGTGGACCAGGTACAAGTCTGACGGCGGCAGCGGCGACGTCCGGGGGGGGAGGGAGGGGAGACACAAAACAAGTCGAAGCGCGACGGTGAAAGCGCCGGCGAGGATCGGCGCACGGTCACGCTCGCTCGGTGGTTCGCCGGTACGGCTCCGACGACTTCACGGCACACTCCGGCCACGCAGGCCCCACTCCGCTTCGCGCCTTCCGTCTTACAACTGTGCGTACTCTACGAGGTACAGACCGACTCCCAAGAGACAAATTAATTAGAAATTGAATGCTGAATGTAGCCAGGCCGCGGTACGATTTCCCTTCAGTCTGCGCGGCGGAAGATTCAGCGCTGCCATCACAGAGGGAACACTTGCGGACACCCTCGAACTGCAACGCCTTTTGGCGTCATCTGGTCCAACTCATATGAGACTAGGCTCTAAGGAAAGCTGTCTCGGGTGTGGACCAATCAACTTCAACGACAGTGCACATTATCAGAGTTATGTTTTTGTTTGCATTATGACTGCAGGTATTGTGGTCTATGTAAACATGACTCCTTGTAAAAAAGGTGTCAGTTTTGTGGCCAGATAGAAGGGTAAAAAACAATTATCATATTTTTTACTGGCAAATGAGGTTCCAATGGTGGAAATCTCGTGAAACTTTATGCTGATGTCACCAGACGTAGACCATTTTCATTTCACCCGGGAAGGCCCACTGAGCTATATAACTCTTTTTCAGAAGCCACCTGGCCACAAATTATTGCTCAACGGAGTAGCTTATCACGTGGAAATGTATAGCAACCAAATCATCGAAACAAACCTTCATTCTAAATGTGGAGGGAAAAACCGGAGGACCAGGGGAACATTTCACGCGACCACGGGGATGGAGAATACGCAAACTCCAAATATACAGGCGCCAAGGTCGGTATCGAACCCATGACCTCCCGTATACCAGGTGAGGTAGTAAACATCTCGCCATCGTGGCACCCTACAAAACAATCTACGAAACCAGGAAACGTTTCAGTCCGTGACCATCATGGACTGCATGGACTTTAGTTATGCGTAGATGAGCAAGTGGTTTGTACAGCCAATCAGCGCCAATGAAGAGACCCCATCCAATCAATACACTCCATTTAATCCACAGATTAAAAGTCACCCAACTACTTCTGTGAGCATTGACTGATTTCCATGATGCGAGTGCAGGAAATCATTGTAGGCATTGCAGTGCCGGAGCATTCGAACAAAACAATGGGATTGCACTGGAATATCTTGATACGAGGCCAATGGATTTGTCAGCTTATCTTAATACATCTTTACAGCAGGCCTACATGAAGCTTAGTCAGTAGATCAGTAGTAGCAGCAGCTTCCAATTCAGCCAATCATCCCCGTGGGGTCGGTAAAATTAGAAACAAATGTTGAACACCTCTTGGTGAAAAGTCCATATTTGTTGTCCTTTGGAAAGACTAATCCCTTGCTAAAGGAACCTGGCATTTCCACAACTGTTTCCGGACTGAGAATGGCGATTAACGCTGCCCGACGCTCGCGTGAGCTTAAGTAAACCACTAAAACTCCGAGTCCGTAAGGAGATGTCTCAGAGATATGAGCACACCGTGTTGTGCCAAAATTAAAAAATCCACGCTGGCAAACCAAAATCCGATCTCTTCCTTAATAGGCAACTGCTGGCGGAGAGGTTTACTGACGCACGGAGCAAAAGCAAAAGCAAAACACGCCATGACCCAAACCCGATCCTCGCTGCAAAGCATTCTGACAACTATTTTTTTTTAAACGAAACTTTCGTTGACCAAGACATTAATCAGGAACCCCACACTGAGCACGCTCGTTGCGAAAATGAAATTAAGCCGCGTGAGCCGACGGGCTCTGGCTTTAAAAGAGGAAGGGCCCCGATGGCGGTTGCATAGACAAAGTCTGCGGGGGGTTGGAACCGACGGGCCGACGAGACTTGGCTCAGGTTCAAGTGCAACTGGCCGGCTTCCAACAGCACCGGCCGGCTTGCTAGAAACCGAGCGCCGCTGGGCCCGTGGGACGGCGCGGCTCGCCGAGGATGGGCCGAGCGGGCGGGCGGGCGAGAGCCACGTGCGGACGAGTCGGCGGGCGACTCTCGACGGAGCGACTTCACCCGCACCCTCTGCCCCTCTCCGAGCGGCCTCCCGTATAGCGAGGCGTTCGCAGCGCATGCGGGCGTGGGCAGAGAGACGGGGTGGGCGGCGGGTGGCCGCGCGGGTGCCGTGGGGCGGCCCCTCGGGGATGGAGAACCGCGCGGGTCTGGGGTGGGGGGCGTCCGCACGTCCGGAACTCCGCCGAGTAGAAAGTGTCGGCCGAACGGCAGCGTGGCGGCCGCGCGCGTCTCTCCGCACATTCGCGCCCCGCGTCCTGTTTGTGAAACAGGATGCTCTCGCCCACGAGCGGCCGCCAGGGTTTACGCGCCCGTGCCCCCAGACTACGGAGCCGCTTGCGCGCGGCCTCGCTCGGAACAGCCGGCACGTCCGTCCGCATCTCACGAGCCGCCAGGGAATTTTCATTCCATAAGCAGCCCCCTCCCCCCCCGGGCTCCACCTCCCCAAATCCGTGTTTGACTCCCGCTAATTTGTGTTTCAATGAAGTGGAATCTGAGAGTAAGTGCGCGTTCCACCCGGCGCCGCTTTGGGGAACGGAGGTCGGTGTTGAGACTCGGGGAGCGGCTTCACGCGCCGCTGCCCAAACGCGGTAATGTCATTATGATTTATTTGTCGCGAGGAAATCAACAGCACCTGCGAAATTGTGTCAGCGCACTGAAGCGTAGGTTTTTTTTATACAGCAGCTGGCGAGCATGTCCGCAGCCTTTTAGTTTTCGGTGGGTATTCTCCAAGGGGATTAACATTCGGCCCAATGACACGAATGAATGATTTTAAAGAGTATAGGCTGAATAATGCACCAATTGGCAGTTTGGATCGTCACATTCCGGGCCCAAAGCAACGTTAAACATATATGCTCAGCAAGTTTGGGGATAACGTTACCAAGTGTGGTTTTCATTATGGAAATATATCGAACGTAAATGTGCGTGTGAAAATGCGGCACCAGGACAAGGCTCCATTGGTAATTTCGAAAAAATAAAGGCCAGAGCGGACTCATCATCATCAGCATCTCTCTGGGGTAGGTAAAATTAGTATCACATTGTGAGAATCAGTGTTTGTCGATACCTTCCAAAGATCACCCCTGGGACAGCAAGCACAACTGTCACCGGTGATGAAGGGCCTTCAACAGAGATGGCGTCCCATTTTTATCGTAGGGATATTGACGTTGTACAAGACAGATGAGAGACATTAAGTACTGTGTGCACACACAAGCAACCGAAGCAATGAGAATCAAGCGCCTGTGGATGCGCGTGCACGCCGGCCATCGTGAGTGAAGTGGAGCCATATCAAGTCCTGATTTGGCTGAATGAAAGAATGCAAATCCTCTACGTCCCACGCATAACCACTGGAAGGTTGGGGTTGTGGCACAGTGGCTCAAGTGCGAAGTTGATTTTGTTGTAACCAGGTGGGACCTCGAGAGAGCAGGGTGAGTCTCACTCGCAAGAGCAGTGACCTGGCTCACCAAAGTGGCCAAAGCAAAAGCAAACAGAGCAAAGTGCAGCAAAAAAAATGGAGCGTTCAGAACCCAAAACAAATATAAGCGACGGGCACATTGAGCTATTCATCTCGCAGACAATGTCAACACGAATCGGCGTGGCTGATAGGGAATTCGTCATTTGTTGGGTTGCGTCATCTTCCGCAAAGGAACGGGATATCGTTAGAGACTGGCGAAGGTCACCGGTTGAGTCTGGACGAGCCTCTTGTGGTGACATCACCGAGCAAACAGGCTCGCGAACATAGCCCGAGCAACGACGCGCCATGACCCCCCACCATGACTGCGATGGACGTGGCTCGGACACACACCCCAGCATAGATAATTCTCGGTGGCATATTTATCAAAGTTAAAAAGGAGCACCGTCTCTTGATGGGGTTGCGGGAATTTTGCAAAGACCTTCAAACGGCCTGGAGCTTTGCATGTAAATTGCTGTGTTTATTTTTTTCGTTCAAACCGTGAGGATGTGCGTTTTAATTAATCCCAAATTCTCAGTCCAGAAATTGGAAAGGCAAAAACCCATCTCGAATGGGGACGCCGCAGGGTCCAGGAGGGTTATATTGGGGATTCGTGCAGCAAGTCCGGTTTCTTAGCGGCTCTTTGCTGACACCCGTCAGCTGGGCACGCGTTCCCCAAATCACAACACGATGAACTCATCTGTTCATCGAATGGGGCCCACGGGGCCCTGGCCAGCGGCTACACGGGGCCCAGTGGGTCCCATTGGGTCGATGGGACCCGTGAGGGGTGGGGGAGGGGGGCAGCTCGGGAACCACGTGCACGGAATGTGACCTCGTTCGACCCCGGCCTGACCTTGGAAATGAAACGGCTACGCAATTTACACGTTTTAAGTGTGGGGGAAGTGCTCCCTACCTCCCTCTGTGGATATGCGTTCATGTGCTTTACTCTTTTCTCCTTCTGCGGTCGTGTGTGTGCATGTGTCTTTATACGTTAATACACAAAGAAACCCCCGTACGGCCTTTGACAGACGGCAACACCACGCCTGGCCGCCTTTGTCTCCCCAGCGCTGATGTTTGCACACCGCTCCAGGTAGTCATTAAGGCTGAGTCAACCTAGAGGAGGCCCGGGACCGATGCATATAATCGTCACCGGTAACGGTGGCCGTGAGCGGGAATGGAACTTGGGTTTCCGGCCAGGTCCGGGACCGGTTCCAATGTTCACCGCTGTTTTTGGTCATAAGCGAGGATTGCAACGCAGCGCGCTAACCACTACACGACTGCTCCCCCCCAATGACACACACGCACACACGCACAGACTCGCGTACACGTCCATCTTCCTGCCAGTCGCCATCTCTCCCCACTCCTTCCCTCCCCCTGCTTCTCTGGCAGAGTGTTTTGACAGCCGGGCGTTATCAACGTGAAACGCTGTACTGCCGATGCATTTCCATGCGCCT